AAGCTTATTAACTTCACCAATTCATAATTACAAGAATGGTGAAGCACTTTGCTGTTTCACACGAACACAAATATGGGTAACAAATATGGGTAACTTGAGTACATGATCATATTTTTAATGTGTGTGTGTATATATAATCATAATTTTTTGATGTTACAATCCGCAAAAAAGACTCTTTTAGAAAAGATGACAAGAAAAACCAACTTTTTTTCATCTGAGCCTCACTTTGCGCTTCTCCATCCTGTCCATCGCCATCTTTATCTATCTTCTTGAAAAAAAAATCACTGTTCTTTTAGGAGGAACCATTGTTTCCTACCTGAATTAGCATACAAACGGAATTAAAAATTTGCATGATGATCATAGCAAATTAGCAATTAAAAATTAGGAATAGTATCAATTAAACAAACAAATATTTAATTTGGGAATATAAACTATACTTGTTTTTGCTTGCGTGTAGCGTGCGGTGCTCTTGCTCTTGCTCCTGCTGACCTGCAGGCTCAGATTTGCTCCTGCTCCTCATGTTCTTGATCGAATGATCGTCCTAATACGGCATGTGCACAAGCTGGGCAGCTGGAATCCCACAATGCGTGGCACGCCCGCGAGCTGCGAGACCTCGACGGCCGATGGGATGGAGAAGCCGCCACTGCCCTCTGCCCTACGCCGCTGAGTCGCTGACAGCACATAGACAGAACTGGAGAAGCCACCCCCATAACAGATGGGAAATGCGATGCGACGCGAGTCAGCATGCGACGTGGAGAGGCAGTCCACGATGTTTTCTCTCCGTGATGTTTCTCCTTGCATGCAGGGCTGGGCCGCTCAAGGTCACGGGGTGTATAAAATTTTTTGGCTGCTTAGGGGGGCTGCTGGCCCCTCCCCAGTTCTGCCACTGAAGATATAAGTATTTCGCTCTTTCCAAATACACCAAGTCGACAATCATGAAGACTTCCGTGAAAAAAGGAAGACATTGTGTGTTTCTTATCCATGATCATTTGGAAAAAGGTTGTCTTGGATTGACCATTGAATCCCTAAAGAGAACCACCTGGTAACACATGAGAAACATTCAAAGAATAAGTGCATTGTTGTGTCTTCAATATCATGGTGACACAAAGCACAGTTGTAGCCTTATCAAGAAATTTGTTCCTGCACCGCAAAATGTTTCTTGTGTTGAGACGGTGACTGAAAATGAGCCACATAAAGGGCTTAATCATCGGCATAGATTTTGATTTCCATAACCAAATGTATGGTGTTGGAGGTGTGATGATTGAGGCAAAGTGGCGGGCACAACTTGTTTGACGCATAAAGTGGCATATTCCAAATGTAGGTCCAAACATCAATGACCAGCTCATTTATACCCAAATCAATAATCTTATGCTAGAAATTTCAACATCGATACAGAACGCTATCAATATAAAACCCCAAAATGTTTGGGGTTCCTTGCTATGTTGGGGTTAATATGGGTTGACCTGATGGTTAAGACACATAACTTTGCCAATATAAAACTCTAGCCTCGGCTGACCCAACGGTCGGAGACACCCGCGCAAAAAATTGAATAGGACGAAAATTTTGCACCATGTCGAGCAGTACCGCCAACCCCAAGATCTCTCTTTTGTCCTCCGCGTGAAAAGAGGTTTACCGTGCCATCCATTTCACACAAGGGAATATGTGGTATTGTGATAGACACATAGAGGTGCCCGCCATCGCCACCATCTTCGCCTCTATCTCCATTATCTAGCAACACCCTCTCTCTCCTCTAGCTCTGAACCCTAGCCGTCGTCGCCATAGCAGCTGGCTTCCCTCTCCACTCTCCAATCGCACCCTCTCTCATCTCACTCTGAACCCTAGCTGTTACTGCCACAACAGCTTACCTCCCTCTCCACTCTCCAACCACACTCTCTCTCATCCTGCTCTCATGCCAAGTTCCCAACCATTCCCTAGTGTGGCTAAGTCACCCATGAACAGTCCAGTGATGAGCCGTGGTACTATCCCTTCTAGCTACCTCGTGCTACACCCCGAGCCAAGTCCACACAGTTATCCGGTCACCACTATATACTAGGCTTATCATGTCCATAAAATGATATGTGGTCTCTACAGGTGATTACTCTAACTCACTATGATAGAGAGATGATCCTTAGCTGCTCTGCGGGCTATATATGCTACTCAAGATCCCACACTTGCAGTAGTTTTACCCCTTTTGAGCCATAACTCAAAAGCAAGTTTAATTATACAAGGTCAATTTTAGATTGGACCTAGTCAATTAGAGAACCTAACATGGTTCTCTTCTTTAGCAAGTTTTTAGTGGATTAAGAGACTCGGTGTACACTCCTATGGCGTGTGAACATGAGTTCCCACTCATATTCAACTTCTATCGATTCTAAGCCAACTAAGGATAATTAACGCACTAAATCTGAAAGATCCTAAATGGCTAGAGGAGGTGAATAGCCTATAAAAATTCTCTATAAATTTACTAGAGCAAATAGTTAGTAACCTAAATGGCGAAATGCAATTTTGCTCTTGCTCTACAAGAGTTGCAAGCCACCTATCCAAACAATTCTAGTGAATTATAGTTTCTATGGCACATAAAGGTCTAGGTTGCTAATTCTATACTAGTGAGCTAACTAGCACAAGAAATACTACTAAATACTTCTAGCTACTCAACTAAGCAATTCTAGTTACTTCTACCACTACACAAGTATAACAAAATGTAAATGCAAGTGATAGAGATAGATACCAATCCCGACAAGTGACAATCAATCAATGAATTCCAAGATAACCAAGGAGACAAATGACACACGATTTTTCTCCCGAGGTTCACGTGTTTGCGGACACGCTAGTCCCCGTTGTCTCGACCACACACTTAGTGGTTCGGCGGCTAATAGGTGTTTCACAAACCTAGCCCAGCAATTAGGCGCCGCAAGAACCTACCCACAAGTGAGGGTAACTCAATGACACGAGCAATTTACTAGAGTACCTTTTGGTTCTTCGCCGGGAAAAGGCCAAGAACCCGCACACATCACCGGGAGATGGCCACGAACAATCACCAACTCGTGTCAATGCTCCTCCGCTGCTCCAAGCCATCTAGGTGGCGGCAACCACCATCAACAAGAAAAACCGTCAGGCCCTGACACAATGGTCTGACGCTACGTGTAGGATGGTCCGACGCTACACATAGTGTGTATCTTTTGGCCAATGGCTCCTTTGCCTTTGGGGTTATAAATAGAAGTGTTGGCCGGCTGTTGAGCACCTTGGGGTCTTTGTGACTTTACTTGGGAGTGTTTGGAAGCCCTCTAACTCACTTGCGCATATAGTGATTGCATCCTATTTCAAGTGAGTGATTCTAGTACGTTACATTGAGAAGATTGCAAGTGTTGGCACTAGGTGATCGAGTTGCAAGCCAGTGGTACTTGTTACTCTTGGAGGTTTCCACCTACTAGATAGCTTGGTGGCATGATCTCCATCGTGAAGCCCGCAAGAAGGTTGTGTGGTGCTCCAGAGAAGAGCTTTGTGAGGGGTGTTGTTCTCGCCCCGCGGGAGACTGTAGGGTTGAGATGGCGGATTAGAGAGGGGTGAATAGTCATTTCTAAAACTTAATCGTGCCGGCTAACCGAAACAAATGCGGAATTAAAACTATCAGTCTAGCCAAACTCAAAGCATCCATTATAATGCAATAAGCATGTGCATCGAGTTCAAAGCAAAACATCGAGTTCAAAGCAAACCCTTTGAGCTTTGGTGAGATTTTTATGATCTAGCACATGAGAAATGCTATTCATAACTATCCACCAAAACTTGGGTCCCTTTGCACTAAAATGATCAAGCATGTGGTTTTTCCACCGTGCAAAGTGTGTGCCATCAAAAATGTGTATATCACAATCATCTATCCCACTAATCGCCATCCTCTCGGGTCGGTGAAGACCACAAATGAGAGACCAAGCTCTAATACCACGTGTAAGGTCGAGATGGCAGACTAGAGTGGGGTGAATAGTCCTTTCTAAAACTTAATCGCGCCGGCTAACCGAAACAAATACGAAATTAAAACTATCGGTCTTGCCAAGACTACACCCCTCTATCTAAGTTCACAAGCACCTTATAAAGATCCTAAAGAGGCAACAAAGGTGCCGGGTTAGCTAGTGCTCACCTATCCAATTCTAGCTTGCAAGATCACTAAACCAAAAGGCTCTTTTCAATTTCACCTTTGCTTCGAGCTTTTTTATTTTCTCTTCTTTTTCAAATCCAAGCACTTGATCATCACCATGACATCACCATTATCACATCATGATCTTCATTTGCTTCGCTACTTAGAGTAGTGTTATATATCTCATAATCACTTTGATAAATTAGGTTAGCACTTAGGATTTCATCAATTTACCAAAATCAAACTAAAACTTTCACCCGTCCAACTGATGTTTTTAGATGATTGATTTCTCCATCTCCTTTATTTCATAACCCAAATCCATAATTTGGAATTGTTGTTAATTAACCACCAAAATCACGTTAAATCAAACACCACCAGCGGCAGAAATACTTTGATTTTGTGAAGGCTCTTTTTGTTTCTGATTCACAGTGAGCGTATTTGGCTGCAACATCATATAGCCATTTATTTAGTGCACGTTTCATTCAAGCGCGCGTGTATGTATATATATAGCCATGTCAAAAAAAAAGATTGCATAAAAGAGTCAAGATCCAGCAGTAGGGACACAATTCCTGCCCACCAAATTCATTTGTATGGTATTGAACTAGAAGGTCCAGATGTGCTTCTACAGGACCCCTCTTCCATTACATGAAAAACAGTACAATCAATTACAAATGATTCAAAGCAACGTTGTACAGCCGTGCTCAATCTAAGTTATCTAAAATGCAATGTATCTCAGCTTTAGTTCATTTGTAACGTTGCTGGCTCAAATTTGACATTACTTCCCCCAAAGAGAACACATGAAAACTGAACGCAGAAATCCCTAGAAAAGATCTCCACTGTTCTGACCAAGATTTGTGAGGCAAGGAACACCTTATGGCTTAAATGGAGCAAATACTACGACAGAATTGTGACCTCCAAATCCAAACGAATTGGAGATACCTGCATAGCAATACAAACAAATATAAGTAAGAGAAAGAGGTTTTGTTTGGGGGGATTAATGTGCCTTGAAATTGATACCAACCAACGTTCACTTCATGCTGCTTTTTTACATTAGGTACAGTGTCAAATTCAACTGCTTCCTCTGGGTTCTGCAGTCAAAAGAGAATGTAGCTCAGATTTAGTGGCAAACAGATTCTAATAGAATGATAGCTAAAATTACCGTGCTGTTACTTACAAATTGGTTTATGCTTGGATGCACCCATCCAGTAGTTATCGCTTTAACAGTAGCAATGGCTTCCAAACCGCCTGATGCACCAAGGCAATGTCCTATCATGGACTGCAAATGGAAGATCACATCAGCCATCAGGAAGGGGCAATGAATAAATATCTGAAATAATATTGATAAGTTGCAATACCTTGGTTGCATTTATTTTGATCCCAGATGGGTCCTTGAAGACTTGCTTGATGGCATTCACCTCTGCCAGATCACCAGCAAGGGTTGATGTTGCATGAGCATTAATATAGTTGACCTGCAAATAGTTTGTAAGTGTTCCATTTACTTAAGATTCCTCAAAGGATTCGTGAAGTCAAAACCAGCTTATCAAGGCAAAACATAACTGTGAAATGTGTAAGGAATTGGCATTTACAGTGTATAGTTACATGCCAGCTAGATGAGTGAAAATTATATCTGAACCAAAAGTGTGGCAACCATGCCAAATTGCACAACTATGGATCACTATTTAAGAATCATGGACAACTGTCACTCTAGAAAGCAGAGTTACAGACAAGTTAAGCATAATGGAACAAATATGAAATGAAGCAGTATTTTTAACAACTAAAATTCATACTACCTCCTCAGGTGCCACACCAGCATCTTCGAGACTTTGCTTGATGCAAGATGAAACACCAAGACCATCAGATCTTGGGTCAGTCATATGGTAAGCATCACAGTTCACAGCACCTCCTAAATACTCCGCAATTATTGGTGCATCACGTTTCATTGCGTGCTCTAGGCTCTCCATGACCTTTGTCAAATTGATTGAAAGAACTAGGAATTAGAATATTAATGGATAGAAAATTCATAATTCCATGGCAAAAAGGAATGACAAGCATGAAACATCTTATCATCATGCCATAAGAATATACATGGCAGAAGATGAATGATCAATTGAATATAGATTATAGAAAACATTCATCGCAACTGAAGTATTGGAGCAGCTAGAGATAGACCCTGGGTGCATTAGAACTGAATGGAAGTTACTCTTCACAAATTGTTAAAGAAAAAATATTTTCTTTTGCAGTTTATAGGCTTAACAAAATATCAGATAATGTTAATATATCATACCAGGACTCCAGCTCCTTCACCCATGACAAAACCATCACGATCCTTGTCCCAAGGCCTGGATGCTGTTTTGGGGTCATCATTCCTCTGTGACAGTGCTCTACAGGCAACAAAGCCACCAACACCAATTGGAATAATTGCAGCTTCAGTGCCACCAGCTATCATTATATCAGCTTCGCCTCTACGGATATGGTTTGCTGCAGCATAGAAACAGTAGTTCGAGGTAGCACAGGCAGTTGAGATGGAGTAGTTTGGACCCATGAAACCAATGTCCATTCCAAGCAGGGCAGAACCCATGTTTGTTATAGCATATGGGATGAAGAAAGGAGTTATTTTTCTGTATCCCTTCTCAATGAGATTCTGAACACCATCAGAAAACACCGTGAGGCCACCCATACCAGTGCCCACAAGCACACCAGCCCGGGTCTTGTCAATCTGTCAGAGATAATGTTTTACCAATTAGCACCAACCGTAGTATCAAGTATCAACAGTGAGAAAATCTTATAGGACTAGTAAAAATATTAAACTAGCAGATGAAACTACTATCAATACTGTACAAACTAAATTTTGATGTGCTAGAACACAATTTGATTTAATCCAAAAATGCTACTCCCTCTGACCTGTAGGGCGCGTTTATTTTGAAGAAATCAAACTCCGTAAACCTGACCAACAACTAGTCAAACTATGTGTGCTTAGGGTACAAAAGTTACATCAATAGAATTATACTCAAACTACTTTTAATATGACATTGGTTTTGTGGAGATTGACAATATTCTAAGACAAAATAATGGTTAAAATATACTTTTGATGACATTATCCTTCCACAATATGCCTGGAAGAAGGGAATACTTTGCTAGAAAAATGGCCATAGTGCAAGTGAATCATCAAATGAAACAACAGATTTTCGCAAAGTTCATATGTTACTACGAATTAAACCTAATTGTGTCAATCATTCTTTTTAATTAAACTACTACTTTGTTCAGTTAAGACTAGTCACAAATACATCATACTGAGTTCAAATAAGTTTAAATGAATTTTCAAAAGGCACTGTAGCGGACATGATTTATGTAATCTTCCATTTTTTTTACCTTGAAAGTAAGAGCCAACCGAAGGCAGTTACTCACAAGACTAACTTCCAATACACCACAATTGGCTTTGAGTGACATCAAAGCACACTTTTATTATCTATGCCATTTAAGAGTCACCCAGTTTTTATATCAGATACACACCAAAAATACCATTCTAACTGTAAGACATTTGCCCTTTTGCCCTAAGACACCACGATTGCAATGTAAATTGATGTGCTGATTTAGCCAAACAGACAAAACTGCAGCATTGTGCTTACTACCCAAAAATAGAGACAATACTTTATATCTACACTGCTGCACAAATCCTGACATGAGCAATTCGCTGCTGAAAATGTATGTCATAATGCTCTTTAGATTAAGCAATGCTCCCCAGTTCAGGAGTTCCTATGCTGCGGACAAGAATGAATTCAGAGATCCTTCACAGCCAAAACACCTTATTTCAGTATCTAGCACTACAAAAACCAATACTAATATTCACCAGCTCCGATCCCTAAGAAAGCTTCATCTTCTTCCCCTGTTATACACCAAAGAGTTGAAGAACCAGAAGAACCGTGTCAACTTCAAACTACAATCGATCATCCAGGATAGCATATTTTATTTCTTGCCACACGATATCTATATGTGACATCAAGATCGTTAATCTCAGAGTCTAGACTGAACACAAGTGTTACTCCTCGGGCCAAGCTAAGATGGCATATCCTGCCACTACTTGGCGTCCCTGCATCTAAACCATCAAGGTCACGAATCTCACTATCCCCAGAGATCATATCTCAATCCAAAGAAAAGGAAATTGTAGTCACCATCACACAATGAACCAACCAACGTCCCCTGATTTATCAAAAGCGCAATACCACAGGACAGTTTATGTCTGACGGAAATATCTCAACGTAACTAGGCAATTCACAACTCTACTTGCCAGTAAAACTGCAGCATTTAAAACAAAAAGCAATCCGAGGTGTGTTTCCAGTGCTAGCTACCTTTTCCATGGGCTTGGAGCCGTGGGCAATCCCGGCGGCCTCGAGAGCCTTCTTGCCACTGACGATGCAGTACCGGAGGCAGTCGTCGAGGCGGCGGTCGTTCTTTCCGTCGATGTAGCCCTCGGAGGAGAAGCCCCGGATCTGGCCGGCGAAGCGGGTGGGGAACTTGGAGGCGTCGAAGCGGTCGATGGGCCCGATGCCGCTCTCCCCGGCTAGCAGGCGGTCGTAGTAAGCGTCTACGTCGTTCCCGAACACGGAGACCAGCCCCATCCCCGTGATCACCACCCGCTTCTTGGGATCCGTCTCCCGCCGCGGTGCCGCTGCCGCCGTCGCGGAGGCGCGGACGGAGAGGCGCCCCGGGAGACTCCGCCGGCCCCGCGGAGCCGCCACCGGGGCCGCGGCAGCGGTGGGCAGGAGGAGGCTCTGCATGGCGACGGCGGTGGCGGTGGCGGCGGCGAGGGGTGGGACGGGGGAGGAGGAGAGGGTGGCGGCGATGGAAACGAGGCGGGGGGGAGGATGAGTGGTGTCCTGCTGCCTGCGAGGCGGAGCGTTGCCCCGTGTGTATATGGAGGATGGGATCGTGGACCCACAGGGGTTTGGGCTTTGGCGCTGTGGGACTTTGGAGGCGCCGGAGACGGGCAACGGGTTTACCTCGTTCTCAACGGAACGTGGCGGACTATGCAACGGAACTTCTTGTTTTCTCTTGTGATGCGTGTTGCAAAGTTTATGGTTGCCCTTAGTGAAAAACGGTACGCTCAAGCGTCTCCTTCAGGGCGTGATTGGTTGCCGCATGTGAATAGCTTGGCTCATACTAGCCTCTTCCTTCGGTACTAGAGAGCGATGCTCCACTTAACCAGGACTTGTTTAGTTTCATTTGCCATAATAAAATATTAGCCTCTAAATTTTTTGCTGCTAAACTTTAGTCTTGCTTGAGGTGTTTAGATCAATGGCAAAAGTTTAGGCTAAAAGTATAAAATAAGGTGTTATTCACATTTCACAATGCTTTTAGCCCAGTTTTGCACCTACTGAGATGCAAATGGCAAAACTTTAGCACCCTTTTGCTCCACCTGTTTAGATCCATTTGTCCAAAATATGACCTAAAAGTGCAGGGCAAAAGTTTTACCAAAGAAAATAAATAGGGCCTAGGCTACATCAGACGAAGCTCCCCACGCGACAGCCGGGATGGGGCAGCTGCCCCACCTATTGCTGGTGGGAAGCCCCTACTACCCCTTCCTTCTACCTCAGGACGTTAGGCATCATGCGGACGGCAGACATCCGACCGGCGACGCATCGATCTAGAACATGTTTTGTGAGAGGACCGAGGGCACGCGAGCAACGACCAAAAGGCCCAATAGAAGAAAGCTCATGAGACATCAACCCAGCAACTATCCACAGCATGTTCGCATGAGGAAGACATGAATCGCCAACCGGCCCTAGAGGCTAGAACTATCAATCTCCAATTCCCCTAATGTCCGACTCCCTAAGGCTCGAGCTACGACGGCTAACGGTGATCCTCGTCACTGTGCCGCGCCACCCCTAATGCGCCGCCGCTGCCATGCATCCTAGCTGCAGCTGGCGGTCGCCAGTGCTCCTTGCTGTTTGCGGTGCTGCTTGCTAGCACCCCTTGCTGGCTTGTTGCCGAGCTGCCGCTAGGACGCCGAGAGAGAGAGAGAGAGAGAGAGAGAGAGAGAGAGAGAGAGAGAGAGAGAGAATGACCACGGGGCACAACCTAGGCGTGCCTAACAACCATAAAATCTATAAGACAAGCCACCAAAAATTGTACTATTTATAGGTCTTTCGTTTTTAACTCTTCGATAGTTAGATTTTAAACTCATTTTTAGTTTATGTTTGTTGAATTAATGGATTAATGGAGTATCTTCTAATGAGAGGTAAATCAATCTTTAAATTACCATATACTAGAAATTCATGTGTCCCTACAATGTTATTAAAAATTATGTGTCCGCCACTGGGCTACATGCGTGCATCAAATTGAAAACGAACCAACAGAGACCATACATGTTGACCCATTGGGTAACACGGGTTGACCCATGTGACTTCGCCTTCTGTTTGGGACTGTCTCCGTGGGATCTCTCCGTCCGTACTCCATATGAATCCGGCACCAATGATTTGACAGGTTTGGGGCCCCTGGGGGGCGCCGACGGTGCCTACCTAGAGATCGACGACACTCTAGACCTCCGCCGCCGTGCCTCCCCTCCTCTCCTCCACCAGCAACTTGCTGCAAGGGGAGTTGGCACCGGCAATTTTAGTGGTGAAAGAGGGTTGTTGCTAGTGCCCTATTGAATACGCAGCATCACCATCGCTCATCCACAGTCGCTGTCTTTAGCTGATTGAAAATTTGGTTGTGCCAGAGTCATGGCATTGAAGGTAACTCATAATTTCGATGGCATGAAGGGATCAATATACTTTTCGAGCTAATTCCCTTGGTGCCATTAGAATTTTTTTACTTTAATATATTCCACTAAAATTATTGAATTTCCTTGTGAGTTGCTAAAAAATTATATCCCATGAACACTTTCGATGTATTCCGTTATACTTTTATTATGGAAAGACCATCGGAAAGGAGCGTTGCAACCAGTTGAAAATGACAATGTTGACCCAAATTACATAAACCAAAAGGAGCCATAAAAATCAACCTTATCCTTTCCCATGGTAGGCATAGTCGCACAGACAATTCGCCCCAATTGGTCCTCTAGGTCATGGGCGCGGCGTGCGATTTCCAAGCAGCGTGACACCATCAGGCGGGTAGATCTATAGGTTTGATGTCATCTTTACTTACTGGATGAACCCTAAATCGAGTTATCTCTTGGAGATAAGGCTTTTTGGCAACTCTAGATGTAGGAAGGAAGTTTTTTGTTTGTTGTCAATATGGTGGCAGACTCTAACGTCTGCAATTTCAAGGACCTTGTCGATGAAATTATAGAAAAGTATCATCCTGATCATCATGAACTTGTAATTGTTGCCTACTATGATGCTGATAGTAAACCCGACCCACTCTCCATTGAACCTTTGCCAAGTTCTGTGGAACACCGCCACCTGCTCCCTCCTAATCTATAGGTTAGAAAAGAGAGAGAAGGCAAGGTAGAAGGAAGGCAAAGGCCAAAAAAAAGATAAAGAGTACATCTCAGGCACAAAGAGATGGGAAGGCGGAAGGGAAGGCAAAGGCAAAGAAGACAGAGGGTACACCTCAAACAAAGAAGAAGCCATCTTTGATGGCACCACAAAGTCCCACAATGTGCACTAGAAAGAAGACTCATGAAAGCCATGCAATGTCTACTAGAAGCAAAAGAAAACTTTGACAATGAATATCAACTGATAATGACTTATTTTGCTAGATCGTCTGTGCAATGAGATTAGGTCATCAAAAATTGATATATTCTTGCGTCTTGTGTGATAGAGAAAACCGGTACTCTTGTCGCCTATGTGTCTTGTCATATTTGGCTAGGTCTCTGTGATGAGATTAGATTGCCGTTATGTTATCAGAAACTAACATTCATGTGGCATGTGTGATGAGAAACTTGGTACTCATGTCACCCATGTGCTTGTCTCATGACATTATTTTGCCGATCAGTTTGTATACCAGATTAGAAAATGGCATCACTCCAACCATGTATAAAAGATTAAGTACCACCGGTCTATACTATTAGCTCAGTACGCAATATTATTAGCTCTCATTTTGCTTCACTTATTTTGCTGTTATATCGGTCTAAAATGAGCATGCGATTGCAACTAAGGGAAGGAAAAAATTACACTTCATTCTATTGGAGAGGCAAATGCATTTTTTTCATAGAAACTTTATTCCACCTTAACGGCAACACATCAGAAATGGTACACAGGGGATATATTATTACTTTTTTTTACAGTGGTTTACAATATAATTCAGCAATTTTAGTGGCACATATGGAAGTTATAAAATTCATAGCGGTGTTGACAGAACTGGCTCATTGATTTAGGTATAGATAGATTTGACGGCAACCAAGATATTTTCGCGACGTGCTTACATGCATGCGGCCTGCTGCGGCGGGTGTGGTCACCCGCTCACTCTACCACACCCGCTCACTCTCATTGATACATCGTGCACACACGACACAACACACCTGCGGTGGGTGCGGTTCCCTCGGTTTCTCCGCAACTGGAAGCCTCGACGCGAGATGCTTTTTTTTTTTTTTTTTGCTTGCGTTTGGTAGGGGATCGGTGACCGAGCCGGCGTGTCGCCTGGCTTGGCTAGCTGGCAGCCTCGTCGATGCGCCGCACTCGCAGCATTCAATTGGGCCAGGCAGCGGCGCGCCATGAACGGCAGGAAATGTTGGGTTGGGTTGGGTTGGGCAGGAATTTTGTACCGAACGATACTGCAGGCTTCTTCACTACTGTGCTGCCGATAGAATCGAATCGAATGCACAATTAATTACAGGGCCTGTGTCTGCTTTAATCTGGTCGGTCAGCACTTGCCCTTTTGTATCAGGACAAGATGTTTATTTAGGAGTATGCCCGCATTGCCACTGGTTACTGAAGACTGTGCCTTGGGTTCGTATTCGCCACGGGATACACGGAACTGATCTGAGGATATTTGGCCCAGTACGTTAGTTATTTGACCCAGTGAAAACAACGTTGAGTACCCATGGTGTTCGATTCCGTCCTCCCGTTACGGACCCCAAGAGGTCGCACGCAGCCAGCACGGCCCAACATGCAGCATCATAGGTGTACGTACGTTAACAGCGGCGTTCACGGAGGTTGGTGGAACGAGTTGCTGGACAGGACAGTGAAGCTTTCTGATCACCGGATACGGAAGGTTGATCTGAGAATTGGATAACGATCTTCACCTGTGGGCCTGTGGCTCGGCTCGACCCGTGGGCTAGCTGGAACTGGAATGGAGAACTCAACTCAGGCCACCAAGATTTCACGCCTTGTGAGTTCTGAAAGATGCTGCTGCCAGCGCCCAGCGGGCCAGCGACTGAAAGCGGCCATGGTAGCTTAGGTAGCGCTCGCGCACCGGGACTAAAATCAGCGAGTGATTCTCTATGCCTTTTCTCCACAAACTTATCCAGACAACTTCTCAGGAGTTTAATTTTTCTTCATGAAATGTTGCCATGCGAACTTCTTTGAAAAAAATTCTATTTATGAGAATTTTTACATAGAACCTATACACAGTTTTTCGGTATTCAACTTATTGGGAAAACAACCTTTTGGAAACTTTTGTACATCTATGTTTTCCGGTGTTCAAACATGCCTGAAAAAAATCATTCAAAATAAGTTTTCAGAACTATGCCTTTTTTATGAACCTAGGATAGTTTAATTAGGTAGATTTCTTATGATGAAAACTGTCTATTTTTGTTTGAGCCTCCGATTCAACACGGGTGATAACGTCTATGGCTAAGTATTCTTTAGACAAATATATATTTTAACTAAAATGT